ACCCGAGGCGAGGCACAAAAATCGAACGGGTCCAACACGTTGCTACCAGGCTGATCCCGAGTTTACGTGGCTTTGGGTATGAAGACCGGTGCGAGAAACTAGGACTCTACACCTTGTCCTACCGTCGGGTGCGAGTCGACCTCATTATGACCTACCGAATTCTACATCTTGGTGAGTTCTCCATGTTAAGGCCAATGCTGCAATTACGAGGGCCATGCAGCACACGCGGACACAGATACAAACTTGTTGTGCCGGATACGAAACGTGTTCCCCACCCACTGTGCTTCGAACGGAGAGTGGTAAACATTTGGAATAGTTTGCCCGAACATGTGATTGAGGCAACATCTGTGCAACGGTTCAAAACGTTGTTAGATTTGCATTTTGCCTCTATTCGATTCAGAGAACGACTGCACACTTACGATGACATCACATTTGTGAATCCCGAAATATCGTAAGTCGAATATTTTAAATATTACATGAGAACGACAATGATATTCAAGGTTGACAACTTTTATAACGTTTTTCGCCATATCTCGAAAGAGTTGTACAGAATCCATTTCTACTTGCTCTATAATACAGTATTCAGTATTCAGCAGTAACCCTCAACAGTCCTGAACCAGCAAACCAAGGTTGCGTTAGACGGATGATCACCGCTGCACTTGCGTTCCTACCCTGTACGAATAGGTAATCTGGTGTCCCATGATTTGCTCACGTTTAACCGTAGCAGATGTTTGGTTGGCCACTAATGTATCCCATCTAGGTTACGCTGAAGTAAATTCTGATTGGCGTCCGTTTGAATCTTGCGCCATATCTTGATGTCGTCAGCATACAGTAGGAAATTTGGGGCGATTGTCTGTAAACGGTTATTAAGAAATACGAAAAACTAGCATGGTCCCAGTACTGAGCCCTGAGGCACACCGGAATTGACTGGCACAGGGTTGGATAAAGCAATCCAGACGCTGACCCATAACTGTAGTTGCAGTAGAAAGTTGGCGAGCTAGCTCAAGTGAGGGTCACCGATCCCGTAATAGTGGAGCTTAGAAAGGGGAATCCGAAAATATAAACGAGCGAATATCTTCGACAAATACAAGTAGCTCCCCTCAACAGCCGCTCCGGCGTCAGCTGACTCAGTCCAATTACTCAGTGTGATTAACAGATTCGTTGTGCACCATCACTGTCGAGGAAAGCCGTGTTGCTCCGAAGCAATAATGCTTCAGTTTTTTAGGTAACACGCCAGCCCACCAGTCACGATGTATATTTCTTTTATTCCTCCAAGTAGCTCAAAAGATACATAGCACAACTACCAATCCGGAAAAGCACCAGACGCCTTTCGCCCTATTGAGGCTGGTCACTGGTGCGTATCCATCGGTACTTACTGGGAATCGAATCCACGACCGCTTGAGGCTGACGTCAATTAGTCAGCAGCTTAAGTCACTTTGTCATGGGAGACGGTTGTTGGGGTAGATAATGTGCAAGCTATCTGGGATATAGATGGACATAGATTGATTCCATTAACTTGGACTGTCCAGGAATAAGGATACTGGGCGGTAGTTTGGGGACTCAGCCTTACTTCCGTGTTATGGTCTAAGCAGCGTTGAAAGAACTGGGCCAAAGGTTTTACCAGTTGTCTTGCTGTTGCTCCCAGTGCCACTTGGCGATTGGTGTCGACCCCCGGAGAGCTGTGGTTTATCAGAGGTGTTAGCTTGTGCAATACGGGTTCAGCGGTAAAAGAGATACAGGAAGGTCTTGGAGACGGAAAGACAAAAGCTGGAAGATTGCCTGGTGGTAAAGCCCTATGAAATGTGGGGGCATGTTGCGTCCACAACTCGTTTGCTGCTTATATAGCCATTCTAGTTGAACCATCAGCCGTCCAGAGGGGAAGAATCCCCTGCCTCAGTTTATGACGTCCATTGACATACTTGTACAGCAGTTTGTGGTTACCGCTGAAGTTTTTCGCCATGTTCTGTTGAGGTACGGCTATGCCTACTCGGAGAAGCTGGGTACAGTATTCAGGCTGGGCTGGTGTTGGTGATGATGTATACTCTCTTCAGGCTTCCTCGCCTACCGTCATCCATGTTCGAGTTCTGCTCCTTACGAAAGAAACAGTTGTAGGTCCATTGCAAACCCTTGTCTCTGAGGCACTGGTAACCGGTTGCTTGGATTTGTTGACGAAATTGATCCAAGCGACTTTCGGGTGGCCTTCAGCAAGGAACGAACAGTTGTGGCGCCGATGAGCTGGGCTAAGCGGTCGTACCGTGTAATGGTGCGCACCTTCACAAAGTTCTCGTGACAAGAGTTCGCATAGTGAATGAAGTAGAAACTGATGACTGCATGATCACCACGACACAAAGAGCAGTCTACAACCAGTGCATCAATTTCAAGTTTCTCGTTGGTAAACACATGATCCAGCAAAGAAGGTCTGTTACTTGTTGTATAACAAGTAGGTACAATGACGTAACTGTCAAGCGGAACACTGATTATGAGCGCTCTCAGATCTGCTATGAATTGTTTTTCGATTGCAGCAGGGATTTCTAAACAGTGTGCGCCGAAACTACCCATGATAAGGACTTGAGTGTGCTATCGCTTTAGACTGCACCTTCAAGCTGTCGCGAGGTGGCAGTCAATTTCGGGGGTATAGTTTAGAGATATTACAGCAAAGCTATAATACATGTGTCTCTGCCATGCAGTTGCAAGCAGACCCAAAGAGAATCGGAGAACCTTGAAACTGAAGCCCCTACGGCCTCGCATTATATGTCGCTTCGGTAATACCGTATTCTCCCTCCTCCTTTCGTAAGTCTGTCGTTTCGTCTGAGTGCCATACACACGTTGCGCACATAGTTCTGGCAGAGTGAAGGCTTATGGCAAACTGTCACCGCCATTCAATATATCCCTTTCTATTTAAGTTCGCCATCGATGGAGTCATGGAAACGGCATTCACTAGATATGATTTAGACGGCGTGGAGGTGCTTCTTCGTGATCGATTTCTGACTTGGAGTATGCTGACGACGCCCTGGTCCGTGACAGCTCCAAAACATACCTAGCAGCGCTGGACAGTTTAACACTGGTTGTCAATTGGGTAGGACTATGCTTCGCACCTCGAGATGCGAACTTCTCAAAGGTTGGCAGGGACCAACTTATGCGCTGATCCATGGGGACAGTCAGCTAAAAAGCAGTCAAAAAGGTAAGTATTTAAGCAATCAACAACGCCCGTGTGAGCGAAGATGAGATCACGAACCGGATAGCAAAAGCCAGGCGACCTGTGGCCTCGCCATGACATCACTATTGGTCTGCAGAGCAGAGTTTATGATGTAGCGTGCGTTCAACCCTCCTGTACGGTTGCGAAATCTTACCTATCAGATCCACGGACCAAAAGAAGTTCGTTACGTTCGACCATCGATATATTCGCAGTTTGGCTCATGTCTGGTGGGAACACCCCGTGAGCAATGGGTTGTTCGGCGTCTCGTATTCGGTGCCAAGCTCTGATGGCTGGGTCACGTGTTGCGCGTGCCAGCAGTCTGACTCCCGCGACATGCGTTGTTTGCGTGTCCGGGATGTGGATGGAAGGAGAGGAGGAGAGGCCAAACGATGATTTGGTCAATAGGAATGAAAAGATGCCCTTTGAAGGTGGCGTCGTTTGGGCCCTGCCGACTGTCGGGCTGGGGTCCGAAGGACGATGAACACATTTGGCTAGATACAGTGGTTGACATGGTGAAGAGCCGACATCAATGACAATGTGTTGTAAGTTTCGTTGTCCCACCCCTACCCTCTAATTTGGTTTTCCGATTTTAACCACGACCTTATACGCGATGCATAATATGGTACTCATATTTGAAGTACTTGCTTTTCGTTTAATTTGTGTTGTCTGTAATGTTTAGTTTCTTATTTTTCCTACTGCAATACGAAATGTGTTTTCACCCTCAAATGTGAGATATAAGCTTAGTGAATTGGAGTAGCTGATTGGTTAATTCATCTTTTAGTTCAGGGCAGTGCATGCAGTGAAGTGGACACTTACTCCTTCGTGCAAATCAACAAGGCTTATCAACGTCAACAAACCGGAAATGCAAAATATGCAACGTACAAAAGAAACGATCCAACTCTGGCGTCTGCGAACATACAAGCAAGCAACTGTGCAAAATCCCCTTATATCTTACACGGTTGGAAGGCGTACATACCATACGTTTGCAAGTTTACCGTGCGTGGATGGTTTTGTTGGATTATTCCGCATTGAAGACGATCCTCATGTGTGGATACATTGGAAGATCCAGTCTGTGTTGACAGATTGAAATACGGCATCAAAGGCTCATCGGTGGAAATAACCGAAATCATAGTCAAGCTGAAGCAAGCCATAATGTGCCGGCGATGACGAAGACAGCTTAGAAATATCCACCTACTTGATGCTGTGGATATAAAACAACCTTGCGGTTGATATGTTGTTAGCAGAGCAAAGTCAGGATGATTTGTTGATCCGATACGAAATCGCCAGTTTCTTAACGACTGCTGAAAGCCAGTACATAAAACGGACAGGAATAAAATAAACCTCATGGTTGGTTTGGACCGTAGTGTGAATACGTATGTGCCAGTTGGTGTGATGCACTAGAGGAAAGCGCGAGATGCAGCATCCACCAACGACTCATGCATACCACCACATTGCTGAAGCTAGCTGTCTGCTGTAAGCTCAAGCAGATAGAGTTAACTATTTCGTCGATCGGTGAGAAAATTCACGGCACGACATTAGGATCAATGAATAACCGTGCTATAAGACATATAAATACTGAGCTAATTCTGAGAGCTAGTCAGTAAGTAGGGTCAGACAGTTGTCAGATCCATCGCCTCTCAACAGTTGGTACTTCACAGGAGTTCCGTCGACAACACCAGTTCACGTATTGTGATATTCAGTTTTAGAATGGTATACCTTATCCTTAAAGAACACATAAGAGTCTAGGCTACAAGAAACAGCATCACTTTCGATAGACGCCTAATACGAAGTGTATCTCGCTTACCTGCTCCTTTTTCAGCGCTTTCAACGATCCAGGAAAGATATACTGAGCTCCATTGTCAACCGCCTGGATTGTGTTACTGTTCTGATTTGTGTGATCACCGATCAATGGGGATTTTCCACCTGTTTCGTTAGTACTTTGATACGACGTGGGATCCTAGAGACAGCAAATGAGACCACGTAAACATTCATCATCATTATCTTTATGCAAGTTAGCTGGAGGTGAGGAACACTTTAACTATTGTGTCACAATATATGAGAAAGGAAAAACAGACGCTACACAGGCAAGACAGTTAAGCCACCAGAAAAGGACATCGTTCAGGAGAGTTAGCAACCGGTTTTTGTGGCGCCAAAAAGGTTACGCGTCAGAAATGATACCGTGCTCGGGGTTGGGGAGGCAAAGGAACAAATAAACTCACAACAAACGCCACTGAGGTCAGTTCCATGTGAAAAATCACGTGTTCAGAAGAATAGTAGGGGGAGTTGAATGGTATAGGTAGAAATTAATTGGCGGCTTAAGTTTGGTAAGCTCGTCGCTTGGTGAGAGCGCTACCCTGTCCTCTGCACGGTAGTAACTTGTAAGTCAGTGGATAGTGAGCGGCGCCATGTCACATCTAGTAACTTATTTACGATGGTCACTGCCTTCATGGTGGCTCAGTTTTCTCAACCACGGACCAGCAACAATCGAGTTGCGGGTTCGAGCCCTATCCGGGGGTCCGATAGAATTCGCACTGCTGACGATTCCCGAACTGATGAAACGCGCGTACAGCGATTTTCCGGGTGTGTGACGGCTGTCTGAGTGAGTCTAGATGTGACGAAAACCAGGTCTTCAATGCTGATTAACTTCTGTGCATGTCTTGGTTACTTGCATTCTAATTTGCTAATGATCAAGGACGCTTGGTCCATTTAGTATTTCTAGCCGGTGACACAGTCCCCAAGTTCACACAATTTTTGTTATCAAATTAACGTCGGATCATAGTAGCTGCACCTGGGAGCTTACTGTCTGATTTTCCGCATAAGTAAACGGCAAGAAATAATAAGGCTTGACACAAATGTTATGGAAAATGCAGTCTACTTATATTTCAACGCATTAACTTATCAAAGCCAGCGACTAGGAGAAAGCTGACAGCTGAGGTAAAATTAAACGTTAAAATCCATGAATAAATTGTATCGAACTGAGTTATTTCGAGAAAAATAACAAAGTGCATGTAACTTTGATCCTCTTAATAGGGTGGTTATCTTTGAATTTTTAGTTTAATGAGGGATTTGGCATTAAGTGTTGAAAAAGAAGCATGGGTTATTTGTTCAAAAGGTAAGTACTATTAAAACTGGTGTTCGCTAGTGCCGAAATTTTGTGCTGACAGCAGACACTAGGATACTAAATTAACGATTATATTTTTCCAACAGCTAGTCAGACATCAAATAAGCTCAGCATCTGTGCAAAACCCGCTTCCGGGGGCACTTCTGCTTGTTCACAAACTGATGTATTTTGTCGTGCTGCGACTTCCATATTAAAATGTAGTACCACTAAGCATGTAACGCACGCTTCCGAGACACGTAATCCCAGCAAGCAGAAGACGTCTGAACAGCAGGAGGTTTATCAATCAATTGAGAAGGTACAAGATTCACGGAAACTCGCGCCGCGAGACCGGGGTGTGTGTCAGATGATTGGCTAGCTGGTGTGAGTGGTAACCAATCCGCGCACGGCTGAAGTAAACGGATCGAAGTCATTCGCGCAAGTGATATCCCCTCATCTCTTGAAATGTTTATACTCCTGGCATGAACCGGTCAAGGGTTTATGCCTACGCTGAGATCTACAAAGCGATGGTGCATCTGACGATTGTACAGAACCCTGGGGGGTTGTTTCCGTTTCCGGCTGAACGGATGCTGATTCACCCAGACGTTCATCTGCTGTTGTCCCAACAAAACTGAGCGTATATGATCTGAGCGTCGCCGTACTATCCGACCATTTCATTCAAGATCTGCTTGGGTACAGTCACCTTTAATTACAGTTGCGGGTTGCCAGAAGCACTCATGTGGAAGTCTTGTGTATACGGGATCACCCGGCTGCCAACTAGAGTTGTGGTCATCTTGCGATGCGGCAGCCTTGTCGTGTTTCTTCTCCATTTATGCTCTATGATTTAGAAACAGAAGATCCAGTCTGCTACAGAGTGTTCGACCAAACATCATCTCCGCAGGTGATTTACCAGTGGATTCCGAAGGCGTTATCTTGTAAGCAAACAGCAAGCGATCTAACCTCGTCTGAACAGTTCCTGGTGCTTGTTTTGAGAGACCTCTTTTAATTGTCTGCACCGTCCTTTCCGCTAGCCTATTAGAAGCAGGGTGATATGGAGCTGTACGGACATGCTGGACACCATTGCTATTCATGAAGATTTCAAATTCTTTGCTAATGAAACATGGCCCATTGTCTGTGCAAAGTGTCTACGGTATCCCAAATATTGCAAATGATGACCGCATTTTGGAGATAGTTGTCTCTGTAGTAGGGTGGGAAACCGGACAAACATCTATCCATTTCGAATGAGCGTCAATTAGCAGCAGGAAAAATACACCATTAATGGGTCCAAAGTAATCCGCATGGATGCGCTACCATGGCTTTTCAGGTTAACGCAAATGGTGCACCGGACCGGGAAGTTTATTTGATTGATACTGCTGACAGAAACCACATGTTTTTAGATAGTTCTCTATTTCTGTATCTAGGCCAGACCACCAGCAATAACCGCGCGCCAAGGCTTTAATTCGGGCTACGCCTGGATGTGCGTTGTGGAGTTCGTTTAGGATGAACGGCCGTGTCTTTAGCGGTGGAATCAGGCGGGATCCCCAAAACAAGCATCCATCGTAAAGGCTCAATTCCTTTTTTCTGTTGCCCATAATGTTTAAGATCGAGGGGAACTGTAGTAGGCCAGCCGGGTTTTGTAAATCGCACTATAGAAGATAGCATTGGGTCACGATCGGTTCACTGACGTATGGTGTCACCTGTCAATGGAGTGGTGTCAAGGTGTCGCATTAGATTTACTAGCTCTACTGGTTCCTCCAGTATTTCGTCTGGGGTCGCATGTGGTAACCTGCTTAATGCATCCGCTGTATGAGTGTGCAACCCAGGAATATAGGAGATTCGATATTTATATGTACTTAATATTAATGCCCAGCGTTGTATTCTCGGTGAAAACATCTGCTCGATTCCCTTTGACTCGCTCAGCAAGGATATCAGTGGTTTGTGGTCGGTTTGTATTTCGAAATAGTTGCCCCAAATGTACTGATGAAACCTCTTGACGCCAAATATAACTGACAGGGCTTCTTTATCCAGCTGGGAGTAATTCTTTTCGGCGGGTTGTAAAGTTCGTGAAGCAAAAGCAATCGGGTGAATGACACCGTTGGACATTTTGTGGCATAGAACTGCTCCGACTCCGTATGGAGAGGCGTCACATTGTAAGATTAACGGTTTTTCACTATCGTAATGGACCAAAACAGGTGCGGAAGCAAGACACTTCTTTGCACAAGTAAAAGCAGATTGACGTTCACATTTCCACATCCACAGGATGTTTTTGTGTAGCAGTTCGTTTAATGGAGCACGGATGGTCGAGGCATCAGGTAGGAAACGACGATAGTGGGACAACATTCTTAGGAATGATCGTAGTTCATCACTATTCTTGGGCTGAGATGCCTGCACAATAGGCGCTATTTTATCTTGCAGGACATGCAAACCGGTTTTGTCCAGTTTGTAACCAAGGTAACAAACAGAATCGGATAAGAACTCACATTTGGACTTTTTAATTTCAACCCACACTCTTCCAGACGCTCGAGAACAGTTTGCAATGTGTTTAGATGATCAGCGTCACTGCGACCAGTAACAAGGATATCGTCCAAGTATGCACAGGTGAACGGTATATCTTTAACTATATTATCCACGATCCGTTGGAAAATGCTGGGTGGTGGATTTATTCTAGGACCTTATCTTCTCGTAGCTCTGTCTTGCTGGTCGATTTGATGAGGCTATGTTCGTGGGGCTGGAATCTTCCGATCTACAGACGCGTGCTAGATGGCCTATCTTACCGCATTTCCGACAGATACTTTCTTTGTGCCGGCAATCGGAAGCGTGAGAATGCCGCAAACCGCAACAATAGCACACAAATTGTTTTCGATGTTTAATAGTGTCTGATTTGCGGACAGCCTGCATATCATCAACTACCGGCCGACCAGTGAACTCGCGTGATTGGTGTGTTTATTTTAGGTTAGTTGACCGCTTAATCAATCCGTTATCCCTGCGACTTATGAGTATGTCCAGGTATGGTCAGTACCAGCACTTCACCCATTTCACGCCAGTGCTATACAAACGGACTCTTGTGAAGACTAGTTAGTCTTGCCATACTAATTTGTTCGGCGGGACTCTCTGGACTATGAGCTTGTGTTAATTACAGCAACACTAATGGCGAACGGCTACCCACGAAGATTGATCGAGAAACACAGGTAACGCGAGGGCCAATTGACTTGGTGCACACGGCAGCCAGTGTATATCGAGTTACCTTTCAAAGGTGACTTAGCCATGCTGAAGACAACTAAGCGTATAATCTCGGTTAAACAAGGAAATTGTCGTCGTCAACCGAACTCGAATTTTGCCCATACCTCCAACGAAGGAAGCTCAGCCCATTGGGACCAACTCACACTGTGTATAACAGTTTGTATGTGACTGCGGAGAAGGTTACATAGGCAGAACCAATAGAACGCTGACTTGCCGAATAAAGAAACATGTGCCAAGATGGGTTCAACATGAAGTTGCTCAGATTGCCTACCATCGTCAGATCCCGTGTTCGCGCGGACCGCCGGCTTCCTCGATAAGCAAACACCTATTAGACTCGGGTCACCAGATAGAGCTGGGCTCAGCGTTTCAAGTTGTGTTACGTCACACTAATCCCCGCTTCCTTCGGTTTGCTGAGGCTGTCGCTATAAGCCGGAGTAAGCCAGCCTTGTGTGTTCAGAAACAATTATTTATCAGCCTAAAGCTGCCTTGGACGTAGGCGTGAACTTCCGTCATTCGTTTTGCACCTTAAGCTTGCCTGGTTGCACCCACTGTTACTTATACCTATGGATATCGGTTATTGTTAATGATATTGAGGAGACAGTACGAAATGCATGCATCTACCAGCCTTCGTCTTCTTTCCTTGCTTTTCAAATTGTTGAAAGGAACGAACTACTTATAAATTGTCATTAAGGTCATTCAGCTTCGTGAATTGTAGTTCATATTATGTATTTACGATAGTCGATTAAGTCAGCATTCAGTAACCATATCACTTTCTATTATGAGGCCTCCCTTCCCCTGCGCGACCCAAAGCAGATGGTGCATGAAGCGCAGAAACACGTGGGTCACCTCGATAAAGCCTACAGAGTACAAGGTAGCACAATGCGATCTAGTAGCTGTGTCATCACGAACCTGTGCGTTGGTCATCACCCAGGTACCTTAACCTAAACACTTGAATTGGTAAGTGCGTACCTGTTGTCCTTTCAAACATCATTATCTGAACCGATTTTCAATATTCCTGATCTACCTGTGGTCAGGGTTGTAAGCAGGTACGCACTTAACCAATCATGCCGATACAGGCGTGTCTCGTCGCACCCTGACCGCAAGTAGATCAGGAAGATTGCAAATCGGTTCAGATGATGTTGTTTGAAAGGGCAACATAGGCAGAATAAATTGACTGAAAGGAAATGATGTTTGCTAGACATTAATCGCTCGTTTAGCTAACTCACAGAATAGAGTACGATAACGAAACATTTACTAGATTATATGAAACATGGGTCCCGCTCGCATGTTTGAATTGTTATTATAAAACAACCGAGCAGTTTGATCAAGTTCTGTAGTCAAAAATTTGATGTTTTTGTGAAATTCGTGTTCAAGAGTACAGTCAAGCACTCCTGTTGGAAGTAAAACGAACTTTGTTTAGCAAATGCTCACTGACATCCCACATCCCCATGAGCAGTCCATTGTGATTCAACCAACTTTATGACACCGGTTTAAGACGCTGGCTACGAATTGGATGCGCTTGTTAATACAATTGAACAAAGAATTATAGAGGAAAATACACCCTTCCTAACCGTTTCATTGAGCACGCCAGCTTTCTGCAGGAGTGCGGCTTGTGAACGATTTGTTTGATACACTATTTCCTGTTCTTTGGACCATAATGTTATGTGTTTTTTCACATGATGAAGGTAAGCGCGAAATCCGAGGTTAGTCACGTGTAGCCATCTGGACCAGGTTTCGTGATTGGACCGAAGACTACGATCGAACGGATGGTGGGCGACGATGAGGTGGGCGCTGTCTTGGTGACGTTCAAATACCTCTATTTGTGGTAAGGCGTACAGTGCTGAGTGCAATCTCTGTAAACCAAAGAAATAAAGTAGTTTCAGGGTACCAGTCTTGAGGATTGGCAATATGTCGCATGCAATACGTCACAATGAAAAAAGTGATAAAGAAAGACATGTTCTTCACCTTAGCAGAGATGCATTTCACATTGTTGCACAAGCATGTCAATGGTCTACGAAAGATGAGCTAAGGATTTCCTCTACTCAGAATGCCTGATGGACCAACAAGAAGGCTATGGAAGCAGCAAACGCGCTGTGGACGCAATATGCTCTCACGTTCCAGAGAGTCTTGCCACTAAGTGATCTTCCAGACTTTGTCATCCTGCCTCCAGGATAAAACCACATCTCTTTTACCGCGGCGGCTCTATTGCAGAAGCTGAGTTCTCTGTGCAAGCACAGCTCCAGGGTGTCGAGACCGTTCGTCCAGAAGCACGGGGAACAGCAACAATCTAACTGGCAGCACCTTAAGCTCAGTTTCTCTAGTGCTGCTTAGAGCAGAACAAGGTTCCTGTGATGTGAACTTGGAATACTAACCCCAATTCACAAAGGTGAAAGCAGAACTGAACCGCCAAGTATTTCTTCTCCATATACTCTCTAAGGTCATAGAATCAATCACTACCCATACACTGGTGTGTTATCTGCAAAACTGCCACATCATCACGTCCTGACCCCTCGGCCATCCGTACTCCCATCTATGAAGTAATATGAAGTGAAGTAACAGGAAGGCATTATGAAGTAAAACTCAAATTCATTAATGTAGCCGCGTTGTCGAACGAAAAGCTGTCCGGGAACATCTTCGCGTCGACCAAAATAAGCAAAGGTGGGAGTTTCATAGCGTGTGTGTAATGGAGGAAAGGATGACTAGGTAAAACATATGAAATCACAATTTATCACCTCGATAGTGTATTGCAATCAGGGGGTGTGAATTACTGCTAAGCCACTTACTTGAGGATCATTTACCTCATTTAGGTTGCAAAGTAGCGAACATTTAGCACGCTTTCAACTTGCAATTTGAGCCACAAAAGTAAACTGCCTCCAGAGGGAAACTATTTGTTCAGTCGTTCGAAATTAGACGCAAGCACCAGATCAATATACACTAATGAGTTGTGAGTATACTACTATGTAGGTGTAAGTATATTATTATGTATTTATTGTTGTAACTGGAAAATTCCTATTTAGTCATCAAGAACAAGGGACCGAAGGTAAACAATTGTTTTCGATGAATTCCTCGTCAGACCTTTACAATCATATGGGTAAAGAGCAATGGAAGTAACAGTGGTTTCGATCAGTTCAAATGAAATTGGATCACGTGCATAAACCAGCAATAAACGAAAACGATAAGCGCATACTAGGGCAAAGATGTAGTCAAATGATTCCTTCCGGCCTCCGAATCGTCCACTTTTTCTGGCCAGGGTAACTTGAGAGCTTCGATCAGTTTCTTTTGTGAACACAAAAGCGGTTGATACAACCGAATACTGATCGCCTCAGCTGTAGCGAGGGTACGGATGCGCAGGCCTTTCGATTGGAGTGGCGGAACCTTGTAGAGTATCCGAAAGGCGTGGACTGGATCGACTTCGTGCCCACTATCAACTAGATGAGCCACAATAGAGCTAGTTATAGCCCCGGTACCGCCTCGACGCAACCAGCGTGGAGGGTGCTCTTTGACAAGTGCCGAGGGTTCGACCGATGTAAGTAGCGCCACAGGCACACTCGAACTGGTAAATGACCATAGAAGCGGTCAGCATCGGCAACTAGTTTTTGTTGCAAATGAGAATGAGGGGTTCGGTTGAGAAAGTACACTTGAGCTTAGCAGCTGGAAAAGTTGACTTAACGGCTGTAGAAAGGCTTCTGGCTATACGTTCGGCGGCTGCGTCTCTTTGAAAGGTAATCTCATAAATAGTTCTTTCTTCTCAGCTGTTAGAACCTGCACAGGGTCGGGTTTGTCTTGCGTGTTCTTACTAATGAATCGATCAGGGTACCCATTTTCACGCAGCGTATTTTGAATGATGATGATGAATAATTGCCCAAACACAGGGAAGCACTAGGCAGGTAGATCAAAGAAAGTCCACTGTAAACAAACGAATCTGCCTGCCATGATTGTACTGTCAAACCTACCTGATTTATAGCTAACCCTGCTTTATTGCTCAATTATTCAAAATACAAATTCTTTTCTAATAAATATGCTAAGTTTTCATCGTCTAATTGCCCAGTGCCGGGATCGTCCCATCGACTAATTGCCCAGCTGCGTGTGTTATGCTCATTGTCGCATTATCAGTGTTACGCCCTTGCTCTGACTATATTATATTACGAGTATCCGACAGCTAGGCTGTCCATTTGAGTCAAGAACAACAAAGATGTCGACGACGTTACTGACAGATCAGAAACGGTTACCTATGTCATTCAATGCACGAGTAAGTTAAATGGACAGACGGTTGTGGGTAGACCGTAGGCCCTATACAAAACTCGAGAACTGACCGCAGTCGGGTGATCTTTCCGCCCCACATCTGTCAGTAGTCTATTGGTTACACACAAGTATGGCCAGTGACAGAAAACATTAGTCCTTGACAGAAAATGTTCGCGTGATTTACACATTTCTCATTGTGCTCTAGCCAGGTTGATTAGCAGCTAAAAGGAACTCAAGCAGAATTTATCACAAAAGACTGCAAGCTCTCAGAAAAGGAAGCGATATGAAAAGGATGGAAAAATTAAAGCTGCATTGGAACCCTGGATAATATCGGTTCGTTAGCACAACCAAACAGTTAGAGGTCCGCTTCTGAAGATATAGGTAGAAGAATTCGGGGGAAAACTTGGCAAAACCTTTGATGCCATAGTAGGATGTTTGTAAAGATGTAAGAACAGAAATCAAGTTGTGTATAAACGAGCGTACAGCTAAAAGTGTTCCGCTGACACAGCAGTCTGAAAATTAGCTGAAAGACCGACTGCCTGAACTTTTGGATGCATTTGATGATGACAACCTGTACAATGCAGACGAAACAGGTCTTTTTACCGAGTAACTCCAGAGGGCTCTTTGTGTTTTTCTGCCGACAAGCTCAGTTGATGGCAAAAAGCCATGAATAGGATTACTCCTCTGGGCTGCACGAATATGTCAGGCACGGACAAAAGAAACTGGTTTTATTGGCAAATGTAAGAAAGCACAATATTTTAATGGTATGAACGTGGACACATTACTCTTAGCTTACGGAGCTAACAAAAAGGCTTGGATAACGAAAGAACTTTTCCCGATTGGGTCCTCGAATGGGACAAGGAGCTGGACCAAAGTGGACGTAAGTTTAGGTTGCTCTTGCATTTATGCACAGCGCATCCAAAGGTAAAAGGCCTGAAAAACATTAGAATGGAATTTGTGTCGACAAACACTACCAGCATTCTTTAACCCATGGACAAAGGTGTGACTATGAATCTGAAAATCTATTAAGGAAGAAAATTGTGGACCGACTTCTTTACTACATCGAAAACGCGTTAGCTGGATCATCGTCGATGGTTGACGTCAGCGCCAAAATTTATATGCTCGATGCAATTCATTTCGTTTCAAGTTGGAGACAGGTTATCGGTACAATAATAAAAGCTTACTTTCGGCTTACTGGCTTCAGTCGGCTGGGATCCGATGCACATTCTGATGATGCCCTCATCGCTGAGTACGTGCTCAGCGCTTGCACAATCCCAGTCATGAATGCAGAACAGTTCGTCGCCATTGACAACGATGTGGAATGTACCTTAGATCTGACAACTATTGAAGATGAAATCGCCAGTAAAATTTTAGAGAACCGACTAGAACAGAAAGAAAGCAGCTACTCAGAGGATGACGAGCCGCTTGCCTCCGTAAGTAATAGCAAACAGCGCGTGTCGCGCTCAAGAGCAAAGAACTGTGAATGATCTGCATAACTACGGACTTTTGCATGGGCTAGGCAACCATTTCTTGTCGAAATTGGACTGCATCAATGAAAAAGTGACTGCAGTAGCAGCTCCAAACAATGTACCACTGACGTTGGATTGTTTTCTCAGCAAAAATATAGAGTAGCGCCAGTTTCTGTAACTATCTGGGTAAGATTCTTTATGCTATAATCTTTAAATTATAGGTCAAGTTCTTCAGAATAAACTATTTTTGTAGGCTTTAGTTACCAGTACGTATTTCATCCTTCTTAGCGCGTTACTATTCAAGTGATATACAGTGCAATAATTCAACGGTTATTTCCCTTTTGGAAAATATAGAAATATCGGTTAATTACCCACATTTGAAATAACCTGATGGTGGGCAATAAAGCGGGTTCGGCTGTAGTAGGAAAACTGAAACTAAATATTAATCGTACGGCGAGATGAAATAACTAGTGCAACAGGGAATGTCATCGAAATTTTAATAATATCTAACCAAACAGTACAGAAGAAATTTGCAACCGATAGATTACCACGAATTCATTATTATGGTGGTGGTGATGGTGGCGGTGGTGGTGGTAGTAATGGTTATTGCGGTGTTGATAGTCGTAATGGAGGAGAGGCAGTAATAGAAGCTCTTCGCTACTGGCTGATCGAAAAAGGCAAAGAGGTTGTTGCGCATTCCCCTACCGTCGATAAAAGTAGTGACGCGACTGACACTGCACAGCTCAACGTCTTCATCCGCAGGGTGAAATCCAGTTCGAATGTTACAGAAGAAACATTGAACATGAAATCGATGCATGGGACAACGACGGGAAAAGCCATGTATGACAACGTATGTCAACATGTAACCGACATGAACATGTCTTGGGACCAACTAGTTGGACAAACAACAGATGCAGCACCGGCGATGCGCGGCGAAATAACTGGCCTAGTTGGAAGAATCCGGTTAAAAATGCAGGAGATATGTACTAGTGAATTGGTAGCACATCACTACATCATACACGAAGGATCGCTGTGTGGCAGTCTTGAACACGAAACATGTTATGCGCACTGTAGCACAAACCGTCAACGTCATCAGAGCCAAAGGTTTAAAGCACCGCCAGTTTTAGTTTTTTTGCAGGAAATGGATTCAGTTCAGGGACATATCTTATCATACAGAGGTAGGGTCGCTTAGTCGTGGAAAAGTTCTCACTAGAATTTTTCAGCTGAACCAAGAAATCTGTCAGTTCATGGACAGAAAAAGAAGAAGACTTCCAGTTTTACGGGATTAAACGTGGAAATATGAGTTGGGGTTTCCGGCGGACATAAACACTCATCTCAACGTCTTGAACCTGTAGCTGCAGGGACGGGACCACTTGATCTTTGATATGCATGATTCAGTGAAGGCATTTCAAGTGAAGCTGCGCTTAAGGGAAACACAAATTCACCACTGTAATCTATCTCACTTTCTTTGTTGCAAAGCAATGTTCACCCAAGTTTGCGCCATGGTGTTCCCAAATGCGCACGTTGCTTAAAAAGGGTGCTCACTTTGCGCTGAGTTCGCATGGCCCTTTAGTGACTTCGGCGAACAGAAAACTAATTTCGAGCTGTTTCGCAACCCATTTACTATCGCCATGGAAACTGCACCTGTACATTTGCGGATGGCGCGCATAGAGGTGAAGTGTAATTGAGTACTAAAGGCAAAGTACGACAAAGTGGGTCCAGCACACTTCACTGGTTTCATACCTGAAGCGATTCCCCAGGTCCGCCTACATACGGCTCGAAACTTGAGTTTGGAAGCACATATCCGTGTGAACTGCAGTTCTCTGTGATAAAGATCAACAAAACACTACGGAGAAGTCATCGCACTGGTGAACACCTGCAGTTCATCATGTGAATCTCCATCGCACAGAACGTTAATCCAAACTTAAATGAAATTGTTGCCAAGAAAAGATGCCAATCATCCAGCTCTGACAAATTGGCAAAAGAGCTAAAATTAATGTGCCTTATTTTGATTTTATTTCATCTCGTGTTGATTTCAATTAATATTATTCTTTAAAAAAGACCGTTTTCCACTGATCAAGGAATGTGCAGGCTATGTGGCCCGCTACCTTAAGTGTGCTTTCAGTTTTGCCGCCGAGATTGAGTTCGACTCCCCTTTCTTAGGGGAACTGGTTTAGTGGCAGTTGCAACGTCGGACGTGACACGCTGAGGGACGCATACTTTCGGGGCAGCGTGCAGCAGTGTAAGTCGAAGTCACTTCCGGCATTGCATCGAAACGGGTCCTAATCGACAACGTGTGAGCCTCGACATAGGAACATATTCTCGCGGATGATAGATCTAGTGAATTAGTTGAGAACCGGGAAATTGGTTAGATGACATGTATGGCGATTTATATTTTTGCATTTGATTCTACTGAGGTGCGACGACACAACACAGTGTTGTAAATTACCACTTCCACATTCAGTACTTAAACCGAGATAGTCAAACACATTCCACCACATGAGAAGTTTCTACTTACTTGGATCATGACGTCTATACCAATCCGCTCTTCTGCACACCATTCGTTCAGATTTCGACGCAGGGAATTTTGCAATGAGCGTTCGAAATTCACCTTATTCAATTTTGCAGCTAAAGGTAACAGTTGATCTCCTGAATCATCATATGGACTGGACTGTGTTCCATTAAACTTTGTAATTTCAGTTATAATGTCACGCAGTTCCTCCAATTTTGCACGATTCGTAAGTTGTTCATTACTGTTCGGAGGGTCAGTCTCATCACTTTTCATATAAGCTTCAGTGGATTCCGTAAAATGTACCGCTGAATGGCAGTGACTGGACCGGTTTGAGTCTTCCGACAGCCCAGGCGAGGACCGTTGAAGCGTACTTCCTAAGTGAAGAAATAAGTAACGCACCATGTTTTATAAACCAGTCACTTTATTTGAAGCTGTCCGAGAAATTCGTAAACTGTTAGTAAGTAATAGGGGGATTTATTATGTTGGAATCTAGCTGTGACGAATATTCATGCAAATTTTTGGGCGGCCTCTTAACTAAAGCCGAACATCAGCACCTGGAAAGATATACTGTCAGCTCCAAGGTATCACTATTTATACGAATTACTAGTGAATCTGTAGGAGCAAGAAACTGTCCCAACTGACTGGAGCCGCTCGGTTATTGTCCCGATTTTCAAAGGAGGCTCGCTTTTAGAATGGGATAGCCAAAGAGGAATCAGTCTGACCTACATCGCCTGTAAGTTGCTTGCTTTTGTCATCCTTCCTAGCTTGACTGGCATTCGTGAAAGCCAAATAATGAAAGAGCAAACCACAAATTCACATTACGTCAGTTGTCGGAGCAGTGTCACATATATTGGCGGCCCACCGTAGTCGTGTTCCACAACATCAAAGGCGCATCCGATTCAGCGGATCGATGTGCCCATTAGGACTGTCTGCTAAGGAAAGGTGTGTCAGAAAAGTAAGTAATTATTGTACAATCGCTTTACACTCGTAGCTCGAGCAGAGTGAGGGCTTACGGCAAGCTGTTGCTGCCCTTCAAAATCTCCAGCGGTGCGCGGCAAGGTTGACTGCTGTCACCATTCCTCTTCAACTTCGCTATTAACGAAGTCATGAAGAGCGCGTTCACAGGATGCGACCTACAAAGTGTGGAGCTGCTCCCATGAAAACGACTTCTTGACTTGGAATATGCTAATGATATGATCAACATCTGTGACAGCTCTCAAAGTTGTTAAGCGGCTCTGGACAGAGTAGCACTGGCTGGCAACCGTTTCGGGCTATGCTTTGCACCCTCGAAGTGCAAAGCCTTCCTCCAAGGTTGGCAGGGACCTGCTTCATGCGCTGGCCCTTGGTGGGGATCAGCTAGAAGTCGTTCAGAAGTTCGACTTCTAAGGTAGTTGCATCAAGGCCGTTGGAATTGAAGGCGAGGTCACAAACCGTATAGCAAAAGCACGAGGCGCTTTTGCTAACCTTCGCCACTTATGGCGCCGGGGCTACTTCACTCTCTCCCTGAAGCGTAGAGTGTACAATGAAGTCGTACTTTCGAACTTATTTTACGGTTGTGAAACCTAGCTTATTAGATCAGCCGACATAAAGGGGCTAGTTACCTTCGACAGCCGGTGTCTTCGAGTTTGTCTCATGTCTGGTGGGAACTCCGTATGAGCAGTGAGCATGTGCGATGCTTTGTTTATGGCGCAGGAAGAAGAAGCGAATCACTCAGTCTGTTATTTAACGCACCAGACTCCGATGGCTGGGCCACGTGTTGCGTATACCAGCCCACCGAGTCCCGCGATGTGCGTTTTTGCACGCCAGGGGTGAAGATGAAAGATGAGGAGAGGTGGCCAAGCGAGTACTTTGTCAAGAGGAATGAAGGCCCTTAGTTCGAAGTTGGCCTCGGTTGGAGCCACTCGGCTCCATGGCTGGGGACCGAAGGGCGATAAACACGTTCAGCTAGATGAACTTGTTTTTACGGCTAGAAGCCGATTTCCATGGCGTTTGTGTTGTGAGCTTTTTGTCCCTCCCACTCTCACTTGGCCTCCCCCTCCAACCATGATCCCATTTATTAGGCAAAACATAACCTTTTTGCTACTCTCCGGAACGATGTCCATCAGTTACTGGCGACTGTGCCAGCGTGTCTGTGAGGTATTTTCCACCTGCAGTTAACGTGTATAACAAATGTTGTTTGAAGAAGGCTGTTTGATTGATGTTGCCCGCGAATACTCAAGTGGTAAAAACCAACGTTACTTTTTTGGATAGGACCGTCTGCTTTGTTGCCCTGATTCAATTTTGTGTGGTATCATGGCAATTAGATTGGCAAGCTCAGTAGTGAATGTGGAATAAAATATGTATACTAAAACCATGCATCGTATTGGGTCGTATCATTTTCACGATTCATTTACCCGAACCCGTTACTTCCGGGCATTATTTCACTGACACGTACGTTTACAACTTTGCGTACTTCCAAAAGTGGGAGTGATATTTTTGCCTCACTCAATTGGACTTTCCAACGGCGTTCAAGCAATCCTTCACTGGCTAGGTTTCACTATCGTGTGAATCAGCTACAGAGTAATCCACCTGTTTTCCGCAGCGAACCCATCTTACCCCTTCAGCAACTGTGCCCTGCTATCCAACACTTTGCCAGTGGGCGATCAATAGACCGAACCACGAAACTACACCTACCACGCCAATGTGTGATTGCACCATGGCTACACAGTTGCTCTGCCGATACGCAAGACGAATGCTTCACGGACACACTAGAGACGTGGACCATGTAACCTTACCTCAACATGACAACGGCTCGCGTAAATGACCCTACGTCTACGTATCCGCCTACCCTTCAGAACAGTAATCTAGGGTGTGTTAGCCCACTCTCGATGTGATGGACATGGTTTGCGACCAGCCTGCTCAGCTAAAATTTGCAACTAGTGATATTCACAGAATCAAAGATCAAAGTAACACGTACTGCCTGCTCACGAAAAATGAAGCTTAAAACAGCTCACCTAAACATATATTGTGGCCCGAAGAACTGTGTTCAGAGTGTACGAATTGCACTAGAATGTTGTCAAGTTTGTAAAACACAGTTCATTCTAAATGGTGCGCCTAAAGCAACACGAAGAAAAGACACGTAATAGTACGATCGATTCCGTTTGACTTTTGCTCTGCGTCTACGGCTATTCCACTTGTCAGGTGTATGGGTGCATTGGTGCAGTGGTGCGTCAGACTGGAGCAGATTGTAGAGCACGCAGCGTAAGCTTTCCCCCTGGCATCATACAGGTCGTTGCCACTGACTAGGTTCTCAACGTCAAAATTCCATTTAGGAGAGAGCAGCTAGGTCGAAAGTAAAAGCAACGATCCGGAGTTAGGCACCTTGACACTAATAATGCGTTCATAGCATTTGCCTCATTAAGGTCACTCGATAGACACATTACCACAGAAGGACGGAAAACATATGCATGTGTTGTTAAAACCCACAAGATACAGGCATAGTCGATTGTAACATCGGAAGCTGATAAACTAAATGCAGCAGCTGCTGCAACTACTGTCGCATGACCTACGACGCCATCTGTCGTCCGACGAAGTAAAACCGCCGTCTATTATTACAAAATAAGAAACATCAGACAAAAATATAAGTCTCTAATTGTTATATGGTCTAGCGTGTCTGAATTCAGAACAAACTGCATCAAAAACAAGCTGCTATGCGACCGGAAACAGTGGGACTCTCCATCAACTAAGAGTCCAAGCTAATTTTGGTCGGTATGTTCCGTCTCGTCCGTCGTTCAAAATGAGATGAACCGTGGTTATTCCAAATGAGGCTTTTGTCAAGTGGTGACGATTTTTCAAGATCCTCTTGAAGCGAAAGTCAGAAAAGCAAACAAAATGCACATAACTAGCGTACACAAACCGACATAATGTCGATGCTTGTCCAAGGTATCCATGAGCTTCAGAATGCAAATGAGCTGAAGATCAAAGCACATGAGTGGTATGAATGGGGCGCTTCATCCGTGAAGAGCTCTTCCGAACTCGAAGTTATTAGTAACACATAACTGCAAATGACGTGGTCTGCGAGTGATGAAGTAGCACTTCAATCAACACCTGACACCTGGCAATGGGGCAAGAAATTCTTAGAAAGCTATCATTCGAAATACGTATAAAAACTGTGAGCACTCGGCTATAAGGTACAACATAGTATTGAACAAGTAGGGTCTGTGGGGTACGCGATCAGCATGCATATCAGAACCGAAAAGCAGTCAAAACACTCCGTCGGCTGAAAGTGTTGTCGGCTACCTGCTGACATTAACCCCTATACACACCAACTCGGAATGGTCCTAAGGCCTGTGTTAGTGGTTCAACAAAAAGAAGACTGGCAGCTGATTAAACAATAGTCCGCATAAACTCTCACCTGAAACCCGCATCCGCGAACACGCTTTTGAGCTCCGATACCCTAATCTGCTTGTATGCCAACGCACGAGGTCTTCTAAGAAAGTTAACCGGACTTCGTATTCGCCATGTCTCTATCCTTTGGGACATAGTCATGGTCAACCAACACAGCTAACTACAGAGATCACTAATGCTGAGAGAGCTCTGAATGGTATAGTTTCCCAACAAAACATTTGACCCAACAGATGGGGCGGATTACTCTTGTAGTACCGATGTGAACGTCAGATTGAGAGTATTGATGACCTAGTAACACAAGTTGTCGATTCCATTTGGTACCGAATTCCCCGGAGATATGATGATGTGTTTAATAGCAATTGTTCACTGTCCTTCAAGGTCCACTCTGGAAGTAGGTCAGTGCCTAGCTTCTGCTATGAAGCGTGCCCCAATACAGTTATACAGTCATGTCCTTCTGGTGAGGACATCAAAATGCACCTAATCAACGTAGAAACTTATCTTAGCGAGCAATCCGAAGTGGATTCGCGAGAAGCAAACTCTGATTTACTCATAGATAATGATGCTAACGCTCCCACGTGATTTGAAACCGATGGCGAACCACTGGTTTTCCACCCTTTGTTCGCCAACGATGCAATAATGTTAGATGTCGTGACTGCAGCTGCACCACTTAGCCGTAGCGATCATGCGACGCTGCTCTTTCGTCACATCTGTTGTGTGGAATATGTTAGCGGAGAAAAGGAGAAAGCCCATGTCGTCACCCCTTGCAACATCCTGTTTGACTTCGTTCAAGCATCAAACCGGTCTTTTCTAGCTGAGAAACCTCCCGATTTCAGCTGGCGGGAAGTTTTCACCCACTTCAGCGGGGTGGTGGCATATGCGTCGGAAGAAAGTTTTACGTCTCAGCAAACAAAGTCCTCGTTGCAAAGTCTGGCTCAAAAATGCATGGGTTTAAGGGATTCCGGCTGACCCTGTTATAACGCTAGTCCGG